TTCAAATATTATATGGTTTTGGTAGATGCATCTGCAAGATGGTCACATGTGTGCTTACTATCAGCTCGCAATATGGCATTTCCGAGATTGTTGGCTCAAATAATAAAGCTAAGAGCACAATTTCCAGATTATGAAATTAAGACAATTCGTCTTGATAATGCCGGTGAGTTTACATCCCAAGCCTTTAATGATTATTGTATTTCAACTGGGATAACAATTGAGCATCCGGTTGCTCATGTTCATACACAAAATGGTCTAGCAGAATCATTGATCAAACGCCTCCAATTAATTGCTAGACCAATGCTTATGAGAACAAAACTTCCCATTTCAGTATGGGGTCATGCTATTTTGCACGCAGCAGCACTTGTGCGGATAAGGCCCACAAGTTATCATAAAGTCTCCCCATTGCAATTGGCTTTTGGTCAGGAGCCAAATATTTCCCATCTTAGGATCTTTGGTTGTGCGATATATGTTCCAATTGCTCCACCACAACGCACAAAGATGGGTCCTCAAAGAAGGTTGGGGATATATGTTGGATATGAATCTCCTTCAATTATAAAATATCTAGAGCCGATGACTGGAGATTTATTTACGGCAAGATTTTCTGATTGCCATTTTGATGAATCAGTATATCCAATATTAGGGGGAGAAAATAAGCAGCTGAAAAAGAAGATAGATTGGAATGCATTATCACTGTCTCATTTAGATCCTCGAACAAATCAATGTGAACAAGAGGTTCAAAAGATTATTCATTTACAAAATATTGCAAATCAATTGCCAGATGCATTCACTGACCTACCAAGGGTGACTAAGTCACATATTCCAGCTGCTAATGCTCCAATTCGAGTTGATATCCCGGCAGGACAATTAATTAAAGCAAATGAGTCTAAGCCATGCTTGAAACGTGGTAGACCAATCGGTTCTAAAGATAAAAATCCTCGAAGAAGAAAAGGAGCAAGTGATCAAAGTGAACATAACACAGAGGTAGTGGCTCAAAAAGAGCCCTAAGACGTAACAAATGATAAGACCTTAGGGGAGGTCCAGGTACCTAAAAATAATGAAAATGAAGAGATATCAATAAGTTACGTCTCAACCGGGAAAAGATGGAACCGAAATAATATTGTTATCGATAACATTTTTGCTTATAATGTTGCTGTTGAAATAATGCAACAAGATGAGGATCTTGAACCAAAATCTGTCAATGAATGTAGACAGAGAAATGATTGGCCAAAATGGAAAGACGCTATCCAGGCAGAGTTAACTTCACTTGGAAAACGTGAAGTCTTCGGACCCATAGTTCGAACACCTGAAGGCATAAAGCCAGTAGGGTATAAATGGGTTTTTGTGCGAAAACAAAATGATAAAAATGAAGTCGTTAGATATAAAGGACGACTTGTGGCACAAGGGTTTTCCCAAAGGCCCGGAATTGATTATATGGAGACATATTCTCCTTTAGTGGATGCTATCACCTTCAAGTATCTCATAAATATGGCAGTACAAGAAAAACTTGATATGCATCTAATGGATGTTGTTACAGCCTATTTGTATGGATCATTAGACAACGAAATTTTTATGAAAGTACCTGAGGGATTTAAAGTGCCAGAAGCATATAAAAATTTTCGAGAAACTTGTTCAATAAAGCTTCAGAAAACTTTATACGGATTGAAACAATTAGGACGTATGTGGTACAATCGCCTGAGTGAATACCTATTGAAAGAAGGGTACACGAATGATCCAATTTGTCCCTGTGTCTTTATAAAAAGGTCTGGATCTGAATTTGTTATAATCGCCGTGTATGTTGATGATTTAAATATCATTGGAACTCCTGGGGAGCTTCCAAAAACAGTAGACTGTTTGAAGAAAGAATTTGAAATGAAAGATCTTGGAAAGACAAAATTTTGTCTTGGTCTACAAATTGAGTATATGGAAGATGGAATATTTGTCCATCATTCAACATACACCGAAAAGATTTTAAAGCGATTCTATATGGATAAAGCACATCCATTGAGTACCCCGATGGTTGTGAGATCACTTGATATAAAGAAAGATCCATTCCGACCTCATGAAAATGATGAAGAGCTTTTTGGTGCCGAAGTACCATATCTTAGTGCAATTGGGGCATTAATGTATCTTGCCAATAATTCCCGACCAGATATAGCTTTCTCAGTAAGCTTATTGGCAAGATTTAGTACTTCGCCAACACAAAGACACTGGAATGGTATTAAACATATATTCAGATACCTCCAAGGGACCATTGATATGGGTTTATTTTATTCAAATGAATCCAAGCCATCATTGATTGGTTATGCAGATGCATGATATTTGTCTGATCCATACAAAGGTCGATCTCAGACAGGATATTTATTTACAAGTGGAGGTACATCCATATCATGGCANGTTTGAAGAAAGAATTTGAAATGAAAGATCTTGGAAAGACAAAATTTTGTCTTGGTCTACAAATTGAGTATATGGAAGATGGAATATTTGTCCATCATTNTAAGGTTTTTAATGAGGCAGCAAGAAATGCATATTATAAATAACTATGTACATCCCAATATTTTTTTGTAAGTTTTTAATGAGGCACATTATGTTACATGGGCATCCAAGGGGGAGTGTTATGAATAGTTTGTACATTGGATACTACTTTGGATACTACATTGGATACTACATTGGATGATACATTGGATGCCCATGTTGTGAATAACTTAAAGATTAAATTTCCTATTTTATGTCCATCATCTTTACTTTTTATGCCTATAAAAGGTCATGTAATTGCAATGAAAAATTACACCAAAGTGAAAGAAGAAAACACTTCTTCATTCTCTCTATCTCTTCTTGTTTACATTTTACTACATTATTTTTATTTTATAACATGGATGATTTATTTCCTCTATTTTTAAATCCTTCTTATTTTCTCGAGTATATAGTTAATAAATTCTTTTCAGGTAGTTGTCACCAGCTTCCTCTTTTGGGGAGTCCATTTCCCCCCTCAAATTTGAAGGAGTTGTTACTGGAAATTGTTAGTCGCCGGAAAACGAAGCCACCGATAGAAATGGTTAATTTGGTAAATGCTTGCTTTGTTGATATGTGTAGGCTATTTGGTGTATAATGTCATGACTCACCACATCATCATGCCACGTAGATGTCACTTGGTATATATTTTTACCATATGAAAAGCTTACATAGGAAAGAGGCTAGTACTTGTAGGAAGGTTCTAGAGAAATATCGAGGTTTCTTTAGAAAGACCCCTGTATACGGCCAAAATCAGAAGAGTTCAACTTCGAGGTTATCATAGCATTTCATGCCCATCCTCTAGGAGCTCGAAGGAGAACTTGGAGTATGCCCCCAAGGTGCTTCCCTCGAGGGAGCGCATCGGAGGTCAATTTCGGAACAACACAAATCGATGACCGTCATGGAAAGGAGGGAAAGCTCCCAAAGACACGTGGTTAGAGCTGACCAGGTCTGCAAGAATAGTACAAGTCTGTACTAAGTTATTATACAGTTTTACTAGTAGCATTTCCTCGTCTTTATTATACATGTACTATGTTGGGATTTCCCCTCATATATAAAGGGGACCCTTGTTATCTTGTAATGATTGAGATTTATTACACAACATATTGAATACAATACAATATTCTTTGTTCTTTGCTAACACAATTGTTCTTCAAATTTATTGCTTATGCTTTCATTGCTCGTTCATTATTCATTATTGCTCTTCACTTATTGCTCATCATTGACCACAAAAGGCCGTCTTTGAGGCCCTGATTATCATTGATCCTCCATCGATCGCTTATCGCTATTAGCCCGTCTAGACCTCGAGGCCCTACTCCAGCCAGCTCGAGGCCCAGCATTATAATCCTATTGGTTTGCATTTCTTATTTTCTTTAATCACGCTTAGCATCTATTGCCTAACAACTAGCGTTAAGATAAATCACGTATTTTTAGAACCACAAAATCAAATATAATTATAGTTACCATTTTCAAGGTAAACAGTTTGGCGCCCGCCATGTAATAGTGATTGTTTTGGTGCTAGTTCTCTGATAACACACGTTACTCTTCACACTTTTTCTTGTCAAAAATTCTTTGATTTCAGGCTTAATCATGTGTAGCACACAAAATACACCTCTTCACAACAGTGAAGAACTGGGAGAAAATAGCGGCATAGGGCTGGGTGTACCACTTGTAAACCCTAAGGAAGTACCAAACATGGAGCCAGTTGATATCAGCTCCCACAACGTACTAAACACGGAAGCAGGCACAGACCCCGTAAAGAATGGATGTAGGGAAGACCAGGCCAGAGGCCAAGGAGCATGAGGAGTGGAAGAAGGAAGAGTCAACTTCCAAGTCATTTTTGAAATGTTGCAAGCACAACAAATGGTTATTGCTCAGCTACAAAGTCAACAAAAAAAACCCAAGCACAGTGGCACCGGAGACTTTAGATATGTAATTTTTGACTCGCGCATTAGAATTACCTTTAATAGTCCTAGTATTTTTAGGATATTTATTTGGGTTTATTTCTATAGGATTTTACTTTACTATTAATTTTAATTCTATTTTTAAAGGCACAAAAATTGAGAAAAAATACAAAAAATAGTTTCATTATATATTTTCTTATTTTTAACTTAAGGCCATTAGTATTTTATAGCAAAATACTTTTTGTTTTTACCATGATTTTCACTTTTATTTTGAATATAATAATTTATATATAAAAAATATATATTAAAAAAATATAGTTTCATAGTATGATATACTTAGCTTTAATTAATTAGAATTAATTTTAAATTATTTTTTTAAAAGAAAAGTTCAAGTCTCTAATTATTGGACTTAAAAGAGTTAGAACCCACTAAATTTGAGCCCAATTTCCCCAAAATTACCCCCAAATCCGCCCAGCCCACTCCCTTACCCGGTTGACCCACCGGATCCATTCTTGACCGCCCCAAAAATCTTTAAATCTTAGCCTTTCAACTACTTCCCATCCAATGTCTATAATTAATTATTCAAGCCATATAAAAATACCCTTATAACATTTTACACCTAACCCTAACCCTAACCCTACAAAATTCACCTAGCCGCACCACCCCTCTGCCCGCCGCCAAAGTCGCCGGAAAAGGCATAATCCGGCGACGCGTTCACTCTCTGGTCCCCCATGGTCCCCCCTCTCTCATCTTCTCCTTCTTCTACGTCACCTACCCGTACGACTCTCATCATTACCATCCAAAACATGTTTGATTTTTCTCATGGACAGATTTTGGATTAATTGCGGACGTAGGATTTAAGTACCTTAAATCCTATCCTTCCATTTATCCCAAAAATTGTTCAAAAAGGGGAGAAAACAAGGTGGATTTTCAGATTTAAGAAAAGGGAGATAATTTTCGAATCTCTGGAGGAGAAGCAAGGTGAAGCTTCTAGGCTTCCTATAAATAGGGGATTTTCGAACAGTCTTGAGGGGGATTTTTTGGGAAAAAGCTAGGGTTTTGGTTTTGATTTTGAGTCTTTCTCTTCTTCTAATTTTCAGTTCATTCATAGACAAAAGAGAGAAGTTCTGTTTCGTTTTGATAATCAAAAAATATTTATAAAAAAAAGGCATTTCGGTTTCCTCCCGTTCAATTTTGGGTTTTGAGATTCAAAAAATGGAGTTTAGCTGAGCGAGGTCGGATCGCCGTTCAAGTACTGCTACTGGTTCGCGGAATCACTACTATTTTGCTGGGATTTTGGATTCTAAGCCTTGTAATCGACCTCACTTCTATTATCAAAAGAAAGGTTTAATTTCAGGTTCATCTCTTTACTCCCTCTTAATTTGTTCCGTCATTGATCGAAATGTGCTCATTGCTGAGATTTCGTTATGTTGAGAATGTTCATGAGCTGGTTTATGTGATTTGTGATGTGATTTTTGTCGTGAATTCTGTCGTTTTCATTGATTTTGGCATATCTTCTTTACTCTATTGGTTCTGTTTGCTACTTATTCTATCTTTGAAGTGGTTTAATTAATTCAAGTTGTAAATCTGTAGCACAACAATATGTTAGGATCTGAAAGAAATAGAACTAAGGTCTTGTCGTCACTATCCTAATTTATCGTTTTAATCAAGTCCTTCGGCAGAAATGAATGGCTCCAAGTTTTGTTACGGGTTCATTTTATTACTTGAAGTCTCCTGTTTTGAAACTAATGTCTGAATCTCTAATATGCTTCTTGTGTTAAACCTTTTAAGCTCATATTATTTCTTCTGGGTAGGGAATTGTCGCACTTGGCCTGGAGTTTGTGTTTAGTTTCGTTTGCCATTGATTCCTCCTTTACTACAATTAATTAGTTAGTGTAAAATCTGAAGAAGATTTTTGGCTTCCATTCTACTCTCATTTTTGGCTTTCTTGCTGTCTCAAAAATTTCTCAATGCTATGCCTAATTGTTTAAACTATACTGTTAATTCCTCCAAAACAAATGGTAGTTTTGTTAATTATTCTTTTAAAATCAACTGAAGAAGATTTCTCTTAGGTTACTACTCTAGCTCACAAAGTCTTGATGAATTCAAGAGGGCACTGCAAAATTCCTTGAAGCACAAAAAAATGGTTCTGTTTGATTCCTTGGCTAATGGTTTTTTCAAGTTTCTTATTTCATTTCAATGTTTTCTTTAGTAATTTTGACCGTTGGATTATTTTGTCTTTATTCTCGTTTGATTATTTCATTTCAAGAGGGTTACGTGAGGTTTGGTTAAAAAAAGGGGTGTGACATCTCTGGCGACCTGCGGGTTCGAACTAGTACTTGATCTTGTTGGCTTTTTTAGAATATTCGGTTGAGGTTTTTATGTGTTTTATTTGCTTTATTTGATTTATTTTGTTTATGTCGCTTTATTTACTAGTTGTTTTATGTGTTTACAGTTTTTTCTTTATGTGTTACTGCTTTATAACTGTCATTATATGCATTACCCGATCAATTCTTTCTGCAACAAGTCTCAAAGTACGCATTGCGTACATGAACTCTTCGTTGAGTCACCCTTATTTTAGGAGGGGGGCCGTCAGACGTATGGAGTGGGTGGAAACCTTGAGCAACCATCATCGACCATACGCTCCCCCGAATTGCCTTGTTAGTGCACCCCAAACTTAGGTCAGCCTTTAGGTCACTCTTATTTGCATCATGTCATTTAAACCTAGCAGGGCTCGGTCCCAGGTACCGTGTCCCGTCGTAGGAGGCCTATCCAAATTATGTCAAAAATGGGCACGTGGCCCAAAATGACATTTAATCATCCTATGTGCTAAATGTTGCATTTGTGAGGGTAGAAAGGTTATTTGGCGGACCAATGTTTTGGAAAGAAGGGTGAAAATGAAGCAAGTAGGGCCCGATTATATTTTTCTTTCACAACTTTTTCAAGAAAAACCAAAAAAAATGAAAATGAAAAATCCAAAAAGATTTTACACTTTCCCATTATTTTCCAAAAAAAAAAAGAAAATCCAAAAAGATTTTACACTTTCCCATTATTTTCCAAAAAAAAAAAGCAAATCCAAAAAGATTTTACATTTTCCATCATTTCTCAAAGGGACAAAAATATGGTTTTTCCAAATTAGTTGCATTTTTTAAAGGCTTTCTCCCATGTCCAATCTTCCCGAACTATGCGAACCTGATTCTCGTCTTTCGAGACGTGATACGTAGGCAACTTAAATAAAGTCTGGTCTTCCTAGTAAGTTTTAGGTTATTGGCTTCCGGGGTAGTAGCCAAATCTTGCATGTATAGCCATATTTGGCCACATCGGCCGTTTTTTGCAAAAATAGGATTATTTTCTCAAAGTAGTTTGTTATCTCCTGTCTTAGAGCCCTGAGTCTACAATAACAAGTCCTCTCAATTCTAAGGTCCATTCATGTTAAATTTGCGTGTCTAGCCACTTTTTGGACGCATTGGCCATTATTGCAAAATGTGGTTATTTTTGCAAAAGTATTTCAATCACCTATGTCTTAGTATCTTGAGGCCATAACTCGTTGTCATATCACTTTAAGGTCCATCCTTGTCGTGTTCGTGTCCCTAGCCACATTTGGCCATATCGGCTGTTTTTTGCAAAATGGGCCATTTCCGCAAAGTAATTTTTAAGGCCATGATTGTTGGGATGTTGGAGTCATGTAAGCTTTAAATGGAGTATTTTTCATGCATTAGGGGTCAACTTTGTCAAGTTTGCACTAATAGCCACTTCCAGCCACTTAGGCCATTTTGTAAAATATAGCCAAATCGTGTCTTGCATGTGTCCACTAGGAAATGTTGTGGTGTCACATAGTGTTCCGAGTCGCTAACCATGTTCTTCTCATTCAGGTATGGACCCGCTGATTCTATCCAAAATGCTGATGGTGGTAAAGATTCCTAGGAAGTTGATCAAGTGGTGGAAAATGTTTTTGTTGCTAGAGCAGCATGAGTTAATGCAGAAATTGGGCACCATCACTTCCCTTCTTGATATCACACCTCGCCCAGACTTAGTGGAGGCGATGCTGACTTATTGGGATCCGCAAATTTGGTTTTCAGATTTGGAGAGTGTGAGATGACCCCTACCTTGGCAGAAATGTCTGGTCTAACTTGTTTAAGCTATATAGGCAAGGACATGATACTTCCCCGAGACCATTCTAGGACCAAATTCCTCAGCGACCTAGGCCTGAAAGAAAACAAGCATTTAAAATGCCTCGAGTAGTCATGGATATCCTTGTATTATTTGTTTGCTAGATTTGGACCACAGGATAGTTTTGACGTTTTTTGGGATGAGTTCTGCACAACCAAGGCAAAGTGGCAAAGACGTCGCCTCGAAGCTTTCAGCCTTGCTTTGTTTGGATTATTGGTTTTTCTATTAGATGAGAGGCACATTAGCACTCGTTTGCAGTCAGTGGTAATGGCACTATTTCATGAGAAGCAGCGCAAAACTGTTACCGTTGTGTCGATGATCTTAGCAGAGTTGTAATGAGCCCTGAGTGAGGTTAGGGGAGGTGTCAGGTATTTTGAGGGAAGTAACCTTTTGCTATAATTGTGGATGGTGGAGCATTTGCACATCGCTTCCTTACTTTGTCCCATCGACTGTACCTTGAGGGATCGGGTGGTATGCATCGAGCGTAGGATGAAATCTCCTACGTTTACATACCCAATAGGCGTCACAGCTTGGATTGAGTTCCTTGGTTTGAGGACAAATGGAAATATTTTGTGGGCTTACCTTTGGCTACCTTTAGATGATATCTTGGTAGGATGCCTTATGCAGCCTTTCCTAATGCTGATAGGACTTAAGTGTGTCAGGTCGTACACTCCCATTAGGGTAATGCGACAGTTGGGAAGAAGACAAGAGGAGCCTCCAACAATGAATCTTCAGAGGCACATCATGAATTTTAGCAAAAAGGCGGCTGACAAAATCAAGTACGTGCAGTACTTGAACAATGCAAAGAGGATGAAGAAAAATACATTAGTAGAAGACGTTGGTAGGCCCGAATGTACTCAGGAGTACCTGATTTGGTTACAGTCCATCCCACCAGGGGTCAGCACCACATTGCTAGCACAACTTAGGGGTCGGGCAGTTTAGACAGATGATTTTGAGGAGGCATCGGACCAAGATCCTTGGAATAAGCTTGAGTCGATCAAGTCTCAGTTAGCGGGATTGGCAGCAAATGTGGAGCAACATGGCCAGTATTTGTTTAGGGTCGGCCTTCAGGATGCGGGGTCACACGCCAGGGTTCCCAGCATCGATGTTTCTTTACGAGGCATGTTACAGAGTTTGAGCATGACGGACAGCCCAGGACCATCCCAGTCAGGACCGTCACATTCAGGAGCAGCTTGAGGAGTCATTCTATTTAGGTGTTTTAAGATCGTCTTATGTCATCTTTTACTTTCGTGTCTTGTCTGGGAGTAATGAATCCATTAGGTAATGTCAGAGTTTGTCGTAGTGTTGTTGAGTCTGTCAGGTTTTTCATTATCGTACTTCCCATTGTATTTTAATATCGAAAAGTTTTTAAATGAAAAATCCCAAAAATATTTTATTTTTTGTTTATTTTCCATCACTCTTCCAGAACTACACTTGGTTGATTCATGAGGGACATGATACGTAGGCAACCTACATCGGGTTCGATCAAATCATTTTGGTTCAAAAAAAAGGAAAAAAAAGAGAGAAAGAGTGGGAAGAAAATGATGTGCAATAAAAGAAAGAGAAGGAAGGATTGAAATGAGCAAATTGGGATGATGCCATATGACCCTGCGACCCTCAAAGCCATTTTAGAACCGTTAATTGTTGCTAGGTGCATTGCACGTAATGCGATATTATTATTTGATAAATGCCTTAACACTAACATGGTGGTTTTGTGTTGTTGTCCTCTGTTATTTTTTTCAGTTTTCAGGAAGGTGGTTAGTTTGTTGGCATCCTAGCAAGTCATCCATACAACACCCGATCAAAGCGTCAAATAGTCATGGCTAGCAAGGAAACAGACACTGGAGCTATAGACCCACCAAGGGAGATTGTTGAGTCAGAATCGGAACTACAAGAGGAGGTCCGAAGGTTGAAGCATCAGATGACGGAAATGTATCAAGCCTGGATTAAGGGACACCCTCTACACTCGTTCCCTACCAACTACACAGAAAACCCTGCTTCCATTCCACCACTCTCCCAATCCCAGATGCCCAATACCATTGATCTTTCCCCACAACACGCACCGGGATTTAACCCTTACCACTACCACCCCGGCACCTCGGCCCAAACTTTTCAGGCTCCACCAGCCAAAACAACCTCGTACCATGCTCCGACATCTACTCCTATTTTCGTACCCCCTCCACAAGCTACCCTCCACCGATCCTCTAGTGAGCCTGCATTCCTAGCTCCAGATACCCAATATTATGCCCCGGAACCCACATTCAAAGTCCCATATCCTTACTCCTACACTCCCCACTTTGAGCCTCATGTTGAAACTGACAAACCACCCAAGAACACAGAGCAAAAGGAGAAGTTTAGAAAGGTAAAGAGTCTGGAGCAATCATTGAGAAATATGCAAGGGTTGGGAAATCAGGTGAGTGTGGCCTATAAGGATTTGTGTTTGTTCCCCGATGTCCAACTGCCTGCCGGGTTCAAGATGCCCAAGTTTAATTTGTATGACGGACATGTGAATCATGTAGCTCATCTGAGGGGTTATTGCAGTAAAATGAGAGGTGCCGGGGGAAAAGACGAATTACTGATAGCATACTTCAGCCAAAGTCTGAGTGGGGAAACTTTAGAATGCTACACCCGCCAGGACACCAACTGGTGGTACACCTGGGATGATATGGCTCAGGCCTTCGCTCGGCACTTTCAGTACAATATAGACATTGTTCCAGACCGCCTATCTCTGACCAAGGTGGAAAAGAAACCCAGTGAAAGCTTTAGAGAATATGGGTTCCGATTGAGGGAGCAAGCTGCACGAGTCAATCCTCCGATGGAAGAAGACGAGATGGTTGAATACTTTTTTCAAGCCCCGGAGTCCACTTACTATGGCCATTTGATCTCGGCCATTGGTAAGTCTTTCAATAATGTGGTAAATCTGGGAGAAATGGTGGAAGAGAGGCTCAAGGCAAGCAAGATCATGAGCTATTCTTCTATAAAAGCAACCACCCAGGCAATCCAAAGTGGTACCGGAAGTTTGCTAGGCAAGAAGAAGAAGGACGATGCTGTCATGGTTGTCTCTGGACCATGGCATGGACAAAGGGGTTCACCTTACCAGTACACCTATCCTCAACCCCGACCTCAAACCTACGCCCAAGCTCCATATAATCTACCCCAACATTACTTTTCCCCGCAAAACCCCTAATACTCAGCTAGGCCATCCTAATACCTTGTTCATCATGCACAGTCATATGATCAACCCCTCCTTACCCACAATGGCGTGCCCCAATCCCACAGAATACCTACCCAGCTCCACAAAATACCTATCCACCTCTACAACCCTACCAAAACCCCAATGGTTCAAATTTTCGACCAAAGCTGGAGTATAGAAGAGAGAGGCAGCAGCGAAAATAAACCTTTACCCCGCTTGGAGAGTCATATGCTAGTCTGTTTCAAAGGTTAAGGTAGTTGGACGTCTTGAGGCCGATTGAGTCAAAGATACCAAATCCCCCTCCCAAGAACCTCGATTATTCCCTAAGATGCACCTATTGTTCTGATGCTCCAGGGCATGACTTAGAGAAGTGCTGGCATTTGAAAAGGGTCATCCAGAAGCTCATTGATACAAACCAAATTTTAATCCAAAGCCCATACGCGCCGAACATCAACCAAAACCCTTTGCTAGCCCATGAAGAGACACATATGATTGAAATAGTTCACAAGGATGGGGAGCCAAAGAAGTTTTCTAAGTCCGTCATGATGATTCGAGCTAGTGAAAGTAATTTGGTAAAAGCTCCAGACTCTACCAAAGCAAAGCCCTTGACAGTTGAAGAGGAGACAGAAAAGCCGAGCTCGCTCAATTTGAAGCCACCAGTGTTGGTCGTGAAAGGGCCTTCAAAAGATATTGGGCAAGTCCTGAAAGCTCAAAAGTGGTAGTGCTAGGGATTCCAAGTAAGTCTGTCATAGTTGTGAAGGGGGCTCTTATTACCCCTATTATCATTAAACTAGTAACCCAGTTGCCAGTGGTTGATGCCAAGGTTGTTCCATGGAATTACAAACAAGTGATAGTAACATACAAAGGAAAAGAAATAGAGGAAGAAGTCAATGAAACTGGAGGATTGACTCGTTCTGGGAGATGTTTCACCCCAGAAGAATTAAGGAAAGCCAAATGCCATTCAAGGATAGCCAAATGCCAGTAAAGAAATTGGTCACCGAGGAAGAGGCTGAGAAGTTCCTGAAAAAGATGAAAGTGCAGGATTATTCCATTGTAGAGTAGTTAAGGAAAACACCAGCTTAGATTTCTCTTTTGTCTTTGCTGATACATTCAGATGAACATCGTAGGGTCTTGATGAAGATTTTGAATGAGGCACATGTTCCTGATAAGATCACAGCGAATCACTTGGAAAAGATAGCTAGAAAGATCTTCGAAGTAAACAGGATCACTTTCTCAGATGATAAACTTCCTATGGAGGGTACAGACACAACCGAGCTCTTTATCTCACAGTGAAGTGCGAAGATTCTGTTGTCTCAAGGGTTTTGGTTGACAATGGCTCTAGTGCAAATATTTGTCCCCTGTCTACTCTGCAAAAATTGAAGATTGGCACCGATAGAATCCACTTGAATAGTGTGTGTGTTCGAGGCTTTGATGGGGGAGGTAAAGATTCTGTCGGAGATATAATGCTCGAATTGTCGATAGGGCCAGTTGAGTTCACCATGGAATTCCTAGTATTAGTTGTGGCTGTCTCCTACAATTTGTTGTTGGGCAGGCCCTGGATACATGCTACTAAGGCGGTCTCGTCTTCTCTCCTCAAAATGGTGAAGTTCGAATGGGACATGCAGGAAACAGTTGTGCACTATGATGAGGACCTGTCAGCTTGTAATGACACAATTGTTCCGTTTATCAAAGTTGAAGATGATAAGGGACCTTGGGTCTATCAAACTTTCGAAATAGTGTCTGTTGAGAAGATTCCTGAAGGAAAATGCATTTCGGGTCATAAGCTATCCTCCGCGTCTGTCATGGTAGCGAATGAAATGTTGAAGAATATTTTTGTGTCAGGAAAGGGTCTGGGCTCATCTCTGGAGGGTATTGTGCATCCAGTGCGCCACAATGGGAATCTGGGTACATTTGGTCTGGGATTCATGCCCACAGAGAAGGACGCGAAAAGAGTTAAAAATATGAAACAGAAGGTATGGTCACTCCCCAAGCCTATCGCGCACATCTCTAAGTCTTTTGTCAAGTTAGGGGCCGAAAAACCTCCAACCTCCTCAATCCCAAAATATGTGGTCGACGTTGATGAAGAGCTGATTAAGAGGTTCCAAAGTCTGTTCAATGAGGTCAATATGGTAGAAGTTGGTGAAGGCTCTAGTAAAGCAGATGTGCAGCTCGTTGGCCCAAACGTGAAGCTTAGCAATTGGGAAACTACTCCTCTCTCCACCAGGAAGGAGTTTTGGTAGTTTGCTTTGTTTTCCTTTCTATTATCTGACTTATTCCATGGTTGTAATCCAGATTTTTAGTTTTAGCTTGTTTTGATGTTCAAACCTTTCTATCCTTTTATTTTCAATGAAATGCAATCTCCCGATTTCCGTTATTCCTAATAGTGTTTTATTTTGTTCTTTTTTCTTTTGTACAATTCTTTTTATGTTGGTTGCAATGATATGACATGCATGAAGAATTTTTAGCCGAGTCTTAAAAGCCAATCTAATTCTGAAATAATAATCCAAGAAGTAGAATATGATGATGAAATAGAATATGATGAAGAAGCAGCATTTAAGGAAATCAATAAAGAGCTAAAACAATTTGAAGAAAAACCAAAGCCTAATTTGAGTGAAGCTGAAGCAATCAATTTTGGGGACCAGGATGATGTCAGAGAAACCAAGATAAGTGTGCATTTAGAACCGCAAGTTAAGGAGGAAATAATCGAAACATTGTTTGATTACAAAGATGTTTTTGCATGGTCATATGACGATATTCCAAGCCTGACCACTGATCTGGTAGTTCATAAATTGCCAACTGATCCAGCATTCCCTCTTCTCAAGCAAAAGTTGTGAAAGTTCAAGACTGATATGAGTGTGAAGATCAAAGAAGAAATCACAAAGCAGCTTACTGCAAAGGTCATTCGGGTCACGCGATATCCCACTTGGTTAGCTAATATTGTGCTAGTACCAAAAAATGATGGTAAGACCAGGGTCTGTGTTGATTACTGTGATCTTAACAAAGCAAGTCCAAAGGATGATTTTCCATTGCCGAACATTCACATTCTGATCAATAATTGTGTCAAGCATGAGATTGGGTCTTTTATGGATTGTTACATGGGATATCACCAGATCTTGATGGATGAGAAAGATGCAGAAAAGACAACATTCATCACGTCATGGGGGACATATTGCTATCGGGTAATGCCATTTGGTATGAAGAATGCTGG